AATCCTTTCTAAACTTGATAAAGGACTATAATAGCATCCAGATAAAGCATAGATTAGATTCCTGTAGGATTTGTTTTTATAGCACATATGTAAGTAGGATTCTTTATAATTTGAACTAGATCAAGATAAGAGATTAATCTGCTTTTATAGAGCATCTCTGCGGAGATTTCCTATGGGGCTAAGATTAAATCCACACACTAAATATTATCTCATTCCATTTTGTGTTGAAAGAAACGTTAGACGGTTTAAGAAGAGCCATTACGTGTTGCAAGTGTTGCAAGAGGTAAATCATCAAAGCTCTCCCGGCTCTGAAAGCAATCCTGCTTTCCTAAGCCGAGCAGAGGGGCAGAGGACCCCCTTTCCTAACTTGTTTCTTTCCCCCGCAGGAGGTCTTTGAGGCGCCTGAAATCTGCATTTCTCTCCGTGCAGGTGTCGTTCAAGAAGCCTCCCAAAGAGCTGAGGTGCTGCCAAAGGGCCAAACTGCAGGAACGGCAAGAGAGTCGTTGTCCTTTTGCTTTGGCTGGATTTTGCAGACAAAACCTGGGAGCGCCTCGGTCAGCTTCCCCCGAGTCTTGCCTGGGAAAGGCTCCAGGCTCGGGCTCAGCGAAATGGGAAACGACACCATCACTTTCGCTACATATAGTTCTTTAAGGGACAGAATGAGACCACCGAGTTTCTTCCTCTGCCACTGCAGTACTAGCATTAAATTGCCGAATGTAAATGCGGTGCTATGTCTTCAGTGATAATACAGGTGGCAGGTTTTAATAAAGTCATACCAAAACAGTGTCAATTAAGCATCCCCCCTCCAAGTGGAAAACTTGAAGGCTGCCCTGCCTGGGGAGTCCGATTTGTTTGCTTGTTTTTCTCAGGTGCACAAAACCCCTCCCTTTTTACATAAACCTCGTTAAAGGGCACCTGGGTCTGGCCCTTTCTGCAGCCTCGCTGCGGGAATCCCCAGCACATCCAGCACGTTTGGACACTAAGAAACGAGTCTGACCAGACTCATTAAAAAAGAAAAAGCTCCTTTGCAGCTGCACAACCAACTCCCCCTCCACTCTTTCCCCCCGCCCCCTAAAAAAAAAAATATAGCTCTCAATTTCCCGCATTTCTGGAAAAGGGATTTCGAGTGAATGGCAGGATGTCCTTTCTTCAACACTTTTCTCGTCTGCGCGGGTCAGGTCGGTATTTCGTGGCTGCGGGAGGAGGTTTCCGAGGGGCAGGCGCCGGTGCCCTCATTTTTCGGTGTGTTTCGCTTTCACCTCATCCCGCATGGATATAAAGTAGTAAAAAACTTCCCCCTTTCAACCTGAAAGGAATGACCAGGTGAAGCCTTGGCGAAGAAAACAGGAGGTCTGTGGAAACCCCGAGCCATTTGGACACCTGTAATGGTCACAGCCTCCAGCCCTCTGCGTGTTTCACAGAGCTTCCCTTCTTGCCGTGGCTATCGTCTACTCGAGGAAGCGTTTCCCTCTCCTCCTTTCCCCCATTCCCTTATTCCCTTATTTCCCTTTCCTTTCCCCTCAGCTGGCTCCTCCGAGTAGAGCCTCGCTAAAACACTGCGCTCCCGTTTCCATACAGACGCCTTTCCATTTTCCTGACTATCGGGAGTGTGGAGAGGAGAGGAGAACAACAACCCACACCCAAATCCTTCCCATTTTCCTGGCCATCGGGAGTGTGGGGATGTGCAGAGGATAAGAACAACCCACACCCGAATCGTTTAGTCCAATCCCAGGTAGCAAGGATTTCTTTCTATTGAGTCTCCAAATGCACTTCGCTGTTGTAATGTTTTCTGGGAATGAAGAGAGACCCAAAACAGATCCCCAGATAAAACAAACAAACAACTCCCCCACACACATTTTCTCTGTCATGACTTTCATCATTACATGATAAAAAAAAAAAAAAAAAAAGTAGGAATGGGGAGAGAGGGATGGGGATTCTTGGGCATTTGCAAGGGACACCGTCGCTCGTATTCCCACTTTATTTGCACAGAGGTAAGGGGCGGGTGGGAGATGCAAGGGGGACCCCCAGGCTCGCAGTGGCCCTGGGGGGCTACTGGTATCTGGCATGCAGGGCAGCAGCCGCAGAGCTCGCTGCGGGAGCAGCAGCCACCACCTTTTCCAGGACGCTTTGCCGTCTTCTTCTCGGGTCTCTCCCAATTCTCTCTCCCTTATTTTTTTAACTTTTTTTTATCCTTTTTTATATATATGTATATATATGATTTTTTTCCAGTCAGTTTATTTTTAAGCAACGAGCTTCTTGCAATTTAACTGGAATCCTCACATAGATGCTTGGGCTCCGCAACTTGTGATCTCAGGAGGGGAAGGAATATGAGGGAGGAGGAGGAGGGTGCGCGGGGGAGGCAAAGCCGCTGTCCTGGAGGAGCCCGGCCGGCACCATGACTGGGAAGCCGCCTCCGGGCCTCCCCCGGGGAGCTCCCGGGGTTCCTTCACGCCACCTCTGCCCACGAAACGTCTCCCATCACACGCGACACCCTCCGGCAGCCGGGCCGGAGGATTCTGCATCTCCTGGAACATAGCGGCAACATCAGCGAGCAGCCGTAGTAACCACGCGCAGGGAATCGGCCCCCGAAGAAAGATGCTTTCCAAAGCTCCCTCACCTCCGCATGGCACGGGATCTCAATCTCTCTCTCTCTCTTTTTTTTTTTTCGCTTGCTTTGCCGCCCTCTCCCTCTCCCCCGGGATCTGTCCAACCCCTTTTAAACGGTTTGAGTCAGCTGCAGTCAGCTTTCAAGCTTTTAAGGAGAACGAATGCCATGCGTGGCGCCAATTTTCCCCTAGGTTACATCGCTCTCTCCCTTTGAAGTCAGCTGGATTCTGAGGTAAAGGAGAGCAGGATTTGGCCCCCGAAGTGAAAAATAATGTGAAATCCACTCGATTTACTTTTTTTTTTTTTTTTTTTTTTTTTTTTTCCGGGGGACTGGGGTATATTTAAAGCCCCTGGTTACCATGTGCTTCGCTCCTCATCTGTAATCTGCAGCTCGATGATTTCGAGCTCTTATGGAGATCAAGGCTCTAACCTCGCAGCTGTTCTCACAGTTTTAAGATAAACAAACAAACAAACAAATAAATAAATAAATAAGCCGGAGAGAAACGGGTGGAGTCGCTTCCGAGGACTTCGGAAGAAGATGCTGGGGCTGAAATGGAGGAGAGAGGAGGAAAATGTTTTGGGGGGATGGGAGGGCAGCCGCGGGAAGGCGCAGCGAGGTCGGGGCTGCTGTCCCGATCCCGGCGTTTCCAACCGCCTGCGCGGGGCGCGGGCAGAGCCGCCGCTTGCTGCTTCCACGAGCGCGGGAGATGCTCCTAGTCCCCGGCTCCCCCGGAGTTTGCTGGCTGCACGGGGATAAAAAGAGACTGCAGGCTGCCACGATGTTGCAGATGTCTTTCATTTAAAAGACACCAAGGGCGCTTTTTTTTTTTTTTTCCTCCTTCCCTTTTCTTTCTTTTTCCCTGCCTCCCTCAAGTCATCGGGTGCTTTTAAGGCACAGCTATGAACAAGCTGCCGAAACGGTGGCGCACGGAGATCCCTTTGCTCGTGCTCCGGAGCGGGCGTCGCTCCCAGAGGTGCAAAAGGAGGAAACGCGCCGCTTTTCCAAGAGAAGCC